TTTTATTGATTTTTACAGAGGGGTAGAAAGTTAGAAACATCAATCAACTGCCTCCTGCACAACCCCTACTGGGGATCAAGCCCTTGGCCGGAATCAAACCTGGGACCCTTGAGTCTGCATGCTGAAGCTCTATCCACTGAGCCAAACCCGTTAGAGCCCAGTTATCGAGGCAAAGTTCTAACCCAGGTCCTTCTAATTCGTATGAGTTTTAGAATAGAGTTTCTGTAACTCAAAAACAGAAAATATGGGAACAGCGATCTTTATTTTCACAAGACTTTTGTAACATGGAAATAGAGATTTGGAATGTACAATAATCACTGCATAGAGATCAACCAAAGGACTTGTGTGCATACACATGGGCCTAGCCAGTGGCCATGGACAACAGGGGATAGGGGGTGGGGGAGGCATATGTAGGGAGGGGTTTGGGATGGGAATGGGGTTATAAGGACATTTATGTGAGACCATAATAAAATAAAATGTACTTTGGGGAAATTAAAAAAAAAATAATCACTGTATAGAAAATTGTCTAAATGGTCAGGATTTTAAAATCTAGTACCTTCAGAGTTTTATTTGCAGAGAATGTGTGCTGCTTGTTTTCTTTTGAGCTCTCAAGCCAGGATCCGTTCTTGGCCTGCTTGGACGCCATGGGGCTTTCCCTGGATGACTGCTTCACAATTTTCTGTGGGCTGGTTTCCTGTGATTTAACTCGGGAGGCAAAGGCAGGAGAAGGAATCACTATTTTCCTCCTGTTCTTACTCTTTGTTTCTGGAAGAGGCAGCATTTCTGTGAGAGGTACCAGTAATTGCTTCACAGGGCAGCCCTCTTACAGCTCTCAGCTCTTACTGGATTTGGGTAACATTTCTGTTCCCTTTTCAGTTAGACATACAGGTCATGACAGCTGCTGCTGTTGCTCTTGTTTCTGTCTATGAGTATTATAGTATTACCACCTCAGAATTGATTTTTCCCTCCCTTAATCCTATGCAGTAATAATTCTGTATTAAAGTCTTCCCCATGTAAACCATATGTGGGGGGAATGAATTTTTTTGCCAGGACCCTGACTGATAAAAGTTAACAATACTCTGTAGAGAATTACTTTCTAAAGTCTGTCTTGTCTTGTACTTAGTCTAGTGTATTAGGACATTCATAGAACAGAAGTATAAAGAGGACTTAATCTATAAAATTAGAATTACTGCCCTGGCCAGTTTGGCTTAGTGGATAGAATGTTTATCCCGGGTTCGATTTTGGTCAAGGGCACATGCCTGGGTTGCAGTCTGGATTCCCAGTGCGGGGGCCATGCAGGAAGCATCTCTCATCATTGATGTTTCTTCCTTCCTCTCTGAAATCAATACAAATATATTCAAAAATAAATAAAATTAGAATTACTATAGAACATTACAGCTTTTCAATATAAAGAATAAGGCAAACCTGATATAACAACTTGATTTAACAACTTCATCTTTAAATTGTGATCTATACAGTACATAGGGGTATTGGTAACTGGGTAGAATTATACTAGGCATTGGAGATTCACAGATAATATCACTTGTTTCCTGTTCAGAGGTAGTCAGTCCAGGAAGGATAAACATAAACTTAATTATTTTTTAATAGTGTTAATACCCTTACTATGGTAAGGAGATTATAAAGGTGTATGCATGTTTTTTTTACAGTGATAAAGGCCAGAGTGTCAAGTGTCTAGCACAGTGTTTCCCAAAGTGTGGTACGCGTACCCCCCAGGGGTACGGGAAGAGTTTGGTGGGGGTACGCGTTGCACAGTGCTTAGCTGCGCCTAATTCTGCGTTCTCATGAGTACGAGGGGTACTCAGCGTTACGAAAATAATAAAGAGTACACATATGTCAAAAGTTTGGGAAACACTGGTCTAGCAGATACACACCCATGTCTTTAGTCTGAGGCCTCCTGCCCCTCAAGACACATAGGGTTTAGTGCTGAGGAATAGCTAATGTTTTCAAGTACAGTCGTTACTCATATGCTCTTCAATTCTTCATTATGTTGATAAGATGCTGTAGGAACTTAACTCCTGTTTATATCAATCTGTGATAAAATTGGTCTTGTTATATGTCCTTTTGCTTAAAGTTGTAGAACCTCTTGATGTTATGTGAGGACTTACTATACTTTGGTGATATTACTGATTCTAGAATAAATAGGGAAAGGGCAAAGTATATTCATTTAGAAATTTAAAAGTGAAGTCTTTGGTAATTACATCTCTGTTTTCCTATTTAGATAAGCCAGAAGCATTTGACCACATGGCAGTTATATTTTTCATATTCGAGACTACAGATACTGTTGTTGAAAATGTTATTGAAAAAACAGCTTTTTTCCAGTGCATTTATGTATTTTTTTTTTCTTCAAGCAAGGAACTATACTAACTAATAGTAGTAGTATGCTGCATGGCATAAGAATGTAGTATGTAAACATCAACTGTCGCCTGCCAGGCACTTTTCTGTGCACTTTATACCCAGTAATTAGTTTAATCCTTGTAGTACCTGAATGGTAGGAAATTAACCATTTACTGGTGAGAAAACAAGTACACAATGGTAACTGACCAGGAAATGGCAAACATAGGATTTGACCTCAGGTAGTGTGAAGGCCATGCTCTTAATCATCATAACCACACTGCGCGTTTAGTTAAGATGTGAGTCTAGATGACTGTTAGGCCACAAGCCCACTTTCTAAATGTGAAATTCATGATGTTACATTTTAGGACAAAAAATTTTTTTTGGCTCCTTTCCTCAGAATGCATATTAAAAGACTGTGGTTGGCATCACTCGTATTTATGGAAGCTAAAATTCTGTACAAACTTCTGGAAGAGATTTTCCTCTGATGCATAACACTTTAAGGTTCAGGACTTTTAAAATCATAAGTAAAGTTACATTTGGTGCTTCAACATTTTCTGCTCTTTAACTTTCTAATTGTCAGAATTTCAAGAAAAAGAGTAATGGAAATAGTATGCATTTACATAGTTAATCATTAAAATTGGTGGAAACCTTGAAGTGGAAACATTTTGTACAGCAAACTCAGTGGTGATTTCTTAATCCTATTGTTTGAGAAGTGTTTATTATGTATTATTTTTTAAAAATGGTTTATGTTAAATGTTTATAATTTAACATTTGATATTTAACATTTGATTCAAACTGGGTAGCTCCTTATTTGTCTTATGGTTTATAACCACAGGTCTTGGGGCTACCCTGGAAAAGGTGAGCTGTTAATCTTGGGAGGGGAAGACAGGGACAAAAGAGACTCAAAGCCAAAACAACGTCATCCTGTACACCAAAAATTTTGGGGTTTGATTCTTGGTCAGCTCAAGTAAAGGAGAAAGCCAAAGGATGTTTCTCTCTAAAAAAAAAAATCCCTCAGGTAAGCATTAAAGAAAGTCCAACCCGGCTGGTGTGGCTCAGTGATTGAGCATGAACCTATGGCCCATGACAGTTTGAATCCCGGTCAAGGCATATGCCCAGGTTTCAGGCTTGTTCACAGTAGGGGATGGGTTGTATAGGAGGTGACTGATGGATGATTCTCATTGATGTTGCATAACTTCCTCTCCCTTTCTCTGAAATCAATAAAACCATATTTTTAAAAAGTCGGAACTTTCATCAAAGGCTGCCTGTTGGCAGAAAGTTTCTAGTATGAACAGTATAGTTTAGTTTCAATCATTAGGAAAGAGTAAATAGACTATAAATACTATCTGTCTAATAGAAATCTGGGCTCATTACTAAAGGACCTATTACATTTAATGATTAAAGTTTAATCAGTGGGTTACAAGTACTCTTACAGACTGGGAGTGGTGATAGGAAGACTGTGATATGAAACTTGGTCTGGCTTACCAAGAAATACCTGTGGTAGGAAAAATGAAAATAGTCTGCTGTGTAGTCACTTGAGAACCAAACTTTAATGAGTTAAGATGACATTTTTAGTGTTCTTGATTGATGAAAAAGTTTAAAGGATTTCTATCATTCTTTTTACATAAAGAATTGTGTTATCAAATCACCCACTGATAGCAGTTTCTTTCCCCTCTGCCCCCAAGTAGCAAAAGAACATTTTACTTTCATGAGCTTTAGTCCAACAGCAAGAAGTCATTAAAATTGAGATACATTACTGTCCAAAACTGAAGTCTGTACAAACATTAATAGAACAACTTCCCCCCGTTTCAGATGAATGAAATGAGCAGTTTCTTAAAAGTATCCATGGGAAGAAGGTCACAGTTTACATACTTAAAAATGTCCAAAATTCCTATGTTTATACACTGATCATCAAAAGGACCCTATCTACAAAACTCTAAACAAATATGGTACATGAGGCTAAAGAGGCAAAAGCTTCCTCTATACCACAACCTGCAATTCAAATTTCCAAGTGCTTGTTTCACGTGAGCAGATTTTCCCACCTACTACCTTTAACCTGGAACGATTCTGGAGATATGGCTTCCCTCCGTGGCAGGGAGACGCAGGGCTCCCCACAGCGGCAGCCGGGGTCACAGCCAGGCTGGGTTTTAATGAGACCACATTGCCAGAGAGGTTCTGCTTCCTGCATGACTTCCAGCATGGTCAGCGACGGGCAACAGTTTAGAACAGACCTTGGTCAAACCTTTTAGGGAAAATGAGCCGAGTCAGCATGAACCTCTATCCAGTTCAAGGTGACAGCCTTTCCAACAGCAAGGTCTTTGAGTGAGTGACGGACTAGGTAGAAATGTCCTTTTAAAGTGGCCTGGATTAGTGATCTTTCCATACCGTGTGTGGTCGTTCATAGTAAGAAAATACACGTGTGAAGGGCTGGAGCCAGTCCTTTCAGGTAAGGCCTTTACAAAGTCCTCATGTGAGGTGCTCACAGCCTCCTGACCAGCCACTCTGAAGAGCGGAAGAGGCCCCAGACCTTGCTCTTCACTGTTTCAAAATACCTACTTGGAAGGACTGGCTTTCTGGCAAGGGAGTTGTCATGCAGCCCTCTGGGAGAGAGATTTGCCAGAAATGTTTTCTTCTTGGTGTGGTTTAGGGATTTCATCTGACTCCCTCGGCTCCTGCTGGCGGAGATGCCCTGCATGTCCCAGGGCACTCTTGCGCTCCGCTGGAGAGGTCTCCAGAAGATGCCAGCTGGGCTCCTGGCATCGGCCTACCCCTGGAGCTCCTCAGGAGCTGGTAGGAGGGAGCGGAGGAGGTGGCACCGGTGCCTCCTGGCTTCCCTCGGCCAAAGCGTAGCGCCTGGCTTTCCTGCGGTCCGGCTCCGGCGTCTCCTCTGCCCACCTCCCCACGCGGCGCACGCCTTTGGCCACCTTGGGGGCGTTCCTGCAGGGATTGTGGTCGTAAATGACCAGCTTCAGCCCCGGCAGGTGGGCCAGGCTGGGGAAGTGGCAGATGTTGTTCCGGTCCACATCGATCACCTCCAGGAAGGGCATGTGGAGCAGCACCGGGGGGAAGTCGCTCAGCAGGTTGCCCGAGAGCCAGATGGTTCTGAGCTCCCGGAGGCGCCGCAGCTGGCCCGGCAGCAGGCGCAGGGCGTTGGAGCCGGCGTGCAGCGTCTTCAGGAGGCTGAGCTCGCAGACCACGTCGGGCAGCTGGGTGAGGCAGTTGGCCTCGAGCCACAGGGTCCGCAGGTTCTGGAGCCGGCTCAGCTCCCTGGGGAGGTCGCAGAGCTTGTTGTTGCCCAGGTAGAGGATGCAGAGCTGTTTCAGAGTGCACACCACCTGGGGCAGCGCCTTGAAGTTGTTGAAGTCCAGGGCCAGGATCTGCAGGCTCTGCAGCTGCCCCAGCTCCAGCGGCAGGCTGCTCAGGTGGTTGTCACTCAGGTAGAGCTTGACCAGCTCCCGGAAGGAGCACACGTGCACAGGGAGGCGGCGGAGCTGGCTCCCGCTCAGATCTACCATCTTGTCCAGCGGCATCTCCAGGAGGTCCCTGACCACGAAGTTCTGGCAGCGGTCCGCGGGGATGAAGGCCACGAGGGCCCTGATGATGTTCCCCATGCGGAGGCTGGAGGCATGGCGAGCCCCGGCCCTCCCACCACCCGATGGGGCTGCTGCCCACTGCCTGGAGGCCTGCCCTCCCCTCCCTTTAAAACCGAGGGGGAGGGGGGCATGACAGCGGCCAGTCACTTCAACAGAGGAAAGTGCCTCTGATAGCAACCTGAGTGTTGGGTGACAGGCCAGGCCCAGGAGCCCAGGTCTGCCTTACACCCGCGCTTTCAATCCCTTAACCCCCATCTCCTTTATCTGCAGTGTTTTATTTATTTGTTTCAAGCTGAAAATAGCTGCACTGCTTTTTTTTTCTTTTTTTCCTAATGATAAAACAGTGAGACATTACATAAAGATTGTGAAAGAAGAAAGTGGAAAACATCCATAGTCATACGACTCAAGGATAAATACTGTAAGCAATTTAATAATGGTCCTCCATTCTTTCTCTTACAAGGAATCAGTTAGTTTTAAAAAATTATTCTGTTCAGGAGTATTATGTATTATCATTACGTGTGGACATATGTTTGCAGGTATTTATACAATGATAAACACCTGTAGAGTCCATCATATGGATGTACGTTTAAAAAAATATATGGATGTAATTTAAAAAATAAATGTTTTTAGTGACTTCAGAGAGGAAGGGAGAAGGAGAGAGAAAGAGAGAGGGAGAGAGAGAGAGAGAGAAAGAGAGAGAGAGAGAGAGAGAGAGAGAGAGAGAGAGAGAGAGAGAGAGAGAAATATCAACGATGAGAGAGAATCATTCTGTATGTCCCCTACAGGAAATCAAGCCTGCAACCCAGGCATGTGCCCTGACCGGGAATTGAACTGTGACCTCCTGGTTCATGGGTCGACACTCAACCACTGAGCCACATGGTCCCAGTGTGGATACACAGTAATTTAGACAGGTCTCTATCACTGGGTATCGAGGCTTACTGCGTGTTACTGTTATAAATATCCTCACAAGTACCATGTGAGCAGTAACCCACTCATTTCTGTAAGAAACATCCTTACAAGTGTTTCTGGGTCAAAGACATGTATCCTCTTAAGGCTTTTCACTGATGGTGTCTCCTCCCTACCCCACCAATTCTGACCTTTGTACATACTCTACAGGTGTCCACTTTCTTACCCTTCGCTCTTACTGGTAATAGTTTTCCACACTTTAAAAATGCCTTTGACACCTGAAACCTATATACATTTATTAACCAATGTCACTTCAGTAAATCCAATAAAAATTAAAATAACAAATAAAAATAAAACACACACACAACACTTCCCTACATGTTGACTTGGAAATTACACTTTGGAGACCCTTATAAAAATAAAAATACCAGTGTGTGTGTGTGTGTGTGTGTGTGTGTGTGTGTTTGCTTATTTCACTATGGTTGCAATAATAAAAACAAAACAAAACCCAGAACTATTAGTAGGGGCATAGTTGACTAAATGGCAATTCATCTGCGGAATACTGTGTTACTTTTATTTGAATGAGGTAAGTCTATATTGTTCTTCCCTACCCTTAGTCTGCTCCATGCTGTGTTTCAATAAAACCTCCATAACAGAGAGTATTTTTACTTTTATAACAAAGTAAATGACTAGTAAAGACATGGTTTTAAAAGGTTAAAAAAAAATGCCTATTGCCGAAACCGGTTTGGCTCAGTGGATAGAGCGTTGGCCTGCTGACTGAAAGGTCCCAGGTTCAATTCCAGTCGAGGGCATGTACCTTGGTTGCAGGCACATCCCCAATAGGGGATGTGCAAGAGGCAGCTGATCGATGATTCTCTCTCATCGATGTTTCTAACTCTCTATCCCTCTCTCTTCCACTCTAAAAAATCAGTAAAATATATATTTTTTAAAATGCCTATGACAACAGACAAGTAGGAGAGCAGAAAAAAGAGGAGGAAAGAACGCCAGCCTCAATAGCTTATGTAACGGAATGTGTTCCTGCGGTGCCCCTGTGGCAGGAGCAGCTCAGGGCCCGCCACAGGCTCGCGCCTCCCGCCGTGGTGCGGGGCTGTCGGAAGCAGCTGTCCAGCTGGGACATTCTCTAGCACCAGCCCCGGGCCGGGAGGGGGTCTAATTCTGGCCATGGAATGTGGGCAGAAGTGATACACGTCACTCAGGGCCCGGCTCATTTAAAACAGACCTAACCTTCCTCCCCACTGCCCCCCTCTGCTAGCTGAGCATCGACACCCGGGGTGACCTTAGAAGCCACCAAGTATGTGGAGGTCACGTGTGGAAGCTGGCAGGGCCTCAGTCACCCTGGACCCCTGAATAAATGCCAGGATCAGACCCCTCCTGCCTCCCCAAACACTACCACCAACTGGATTTAGTTTAGGTAAGTGAGAAGTAAACTTCAATATGTGAAGCCCTCCAGATCTGGTGGCTTATCGCATCTTATTAGAGCAGTTATCAAAGAATACGTAGGTAAAACTACATATATTGATATGCAAAGATATTCAGAATAAAGTGGGGGGGGCAAGTTTCAGAACAGTTTTTTATAATCCTATCTGTAAAATATATGCATATGTTCTTGCATATGCATAAAGTTATCTAAACAATAACAGTGATTATCTCTGGGGAATCTGCCTTATGGTTTGGGGGTGAGAGGAATGCTGACTTTTCTATTTCTTCTTGTACTATTTGACTTTTTTAAAATATATATTTCATTGACTTTTTACAGAGAGGGAGAGAGAGGGATAGAGTGCTAGAAACATCGATGAGAGAGAATCATTGATCAGCTGCCTCTTGAACACTCCCTACTGGGGATGTGCACGCAACCAAGGTACATGCACTTGACTGGAATCGAACCCGGGACCTTTCAGTCCACAGGCCGGTGCTCTATCCATTGAGCCAAACCGGTTTCGGCACTATTTGACTTTTTAAAAAACTATAGACATACATCCCCTTTAAATTTATTATTATTATTATTATTATTATTATTAAATATTTTTATTGATTTCAGAGAGGAAGAGAGAGGGAGAGAGAGATAGAAATATCAATGATGAGAGGGAATTATCCATCGGCTGCCTCCTGCATGTCCCCTAGTGGGGATCGAGCCCGCAACCCGGGCATGTGCCCTTGACCAGAATCGAACCTGGAACCCTTCCGTCTGCAGGCCGATACTCTGTGCACTCAGCCAAACCACTAAGGCCATCCCCTTTAAATGTAAAAGCTGTGGTCCCAAAGTAACACTCCCTTAGCTTGCCTGCCCTCTGGTCTGGATAGTGTCCGAGTTTGGGGGGAGTCTTGGCGCACCCTTCCACCTCCTGGGCTGCCCCTACTGAACAGAGCGGAGAGTCCGTTCCCTGGGGATGGCCGTCCTGCAGAGTTATTTGGGGGTGCAGGGTCCCACTCGGTCACCCTGAAGCCCTTGGACTTTCCACATTGAATGTCAAGGGCTTTTATCTCGAGTCCTCTCCTTGCTTTGTTGATTTGTCCTGTAATAAGCAGCCCTCTCAACAGGTACTGTGCTTCGCCTCTATATTTAGCGGGGCCAGGAGTGACCACAAATGGTCACGAGGCAGCTGCCCCGCTGGCATCTCTAGGAATGATAATGATGATAACGATTCGTACTCGTTATTTGTAAGTAATCTGTGAAACTGAGCACTGTGCCGGGTGCTTCACAGATACTGCTTCTCAGAAGCCCTGCCAGAGAGACATTTTCATCCCCAATGTTCAGACGAAAAGACTGAGGCTCAGAGAGGTTTAATAATAACGTCAAGTACGTCCTGAGCCCCACTATGTTCTAGATGAGAGGCCTGATCTCACAGAGCATGTGACTCCGGGGGGGGAGGTGGTGGTGGTGGTGGATGCTCTTCTATGAGTGAGGTCACACCAGCTGACAAACCTTGCCCTCACACACTGAGCTTTCATGGCGGCCCCTAATGTGCGCAGAGTGCTAAGGAAACCAGAGCGTGTGTGTGGAAGGGGGAGATCCTGGCAGGTTCCCAAAGGACTGTGCTCACAGCCCTCCCGCTCCCATCGCTCGGGGCTGGCCTCTGCCCGGACGGTGTGGCTCAGTGGCTGAGCGTTGACCTATGAGCCAGGAGGTCACATGCCTGGTTGCAAACTTGAGCTCCAGGGTGTGGCGTACAGGAGGCAGCCGATCAATCTCTCTCATTATTGATGTGTTTTTCTCTCTCTCTCCCTCTCCCTTCCTCTCTGAAATCAATAAAAATATAATAAATAATAATAATGACAATAATTTTAAAAAGGAGCCCTGGCCTCTTCATTGTGCTCCCACTGCCTCCACTCTATTTATGTCTCACTTGTCAGCTTCAGCGCCTCCTCCTGGGGCTGCTAGGGGCCACACAAAGCTTCATCACCCCCACCTCTAGCCGGGCAGAGGCCTCTGATTCCCGAAGAATGAAGAACGTAGTCCAGACTCCTCGGTTGAGGCATACAGGACCCTCCAGGACCTGGCCCTGTGCGCCGGGAACTATGTGCTTCCTCCTCTGGCTCCTGCTGGGCCACCCAAGGTGACAAACTTCCTCCTCAGGGCTTCCCACATGCAGCCCCCTCCCCCCCACACCCTCTTCCCCCACTTCCTCCCCTATTGCCACCCGCCTGGAATGCTCTCCCCACTCGCCACCCTCTCTCTCCTCTTGCTCATCTGTGCTGTCCCACCTCAAGTCATTTCCTGACCCGCAGACTGAGTTAGTGATTTTACAATGTGTAGTCGGAACTTCTCTCCGTAAACGTCTGTTGACTGCCCATCCTCCACGGGACTGTCCTCTCCAGGAGGCCGCGGTCAGCTGGGAAGGCCTCCATTGGGTCTCCGCCTCGGTGCCTGGCCCCCGAGAGGTCCTCAGTCGGCAGAAATAAAGGGGCTGAAGCCAACTGGCTAGTGAAGCAGGCATTTATTTACACACAGAAAATTATTTTTAAATACTTAAGGATAGTTGGAAATATAGAAAGACCACACTTTTCTTATCCCTCGTTAGTACTGCTACAGATAGGACCCGGGTAAAAACCTTGTTTTACAATACATATATGACTGTACATATACTAGTAAT